AAACTATATTTTTTATATAATAATAATATTATTAAAATTAATATTTAATATTTTATAAAGAAATTAACACTTTTTTTAACTTCGCAAGTAAATTTGCCTGCTTTACAGTTTAAGGAATACTAGTCATTTATTATTAAAATTAAGATTCATAGTAAATCATATATATTTAAATATTTTTTTTATAAGTATTTATTTCTTTTTTAAACACTTTTTATTTTGAATTTTTTTTTTCTTTTTTGTTTTTAATAAAATAGACTTTTCTTTTTATTAGCTAAGATAAATCTACAAATAGAATTCTTTTGATGATATTTTTTCAGATTTTTATTAATTTTTTTTTCTTACTATTAGTTAAGAGATATTACAAATTAAAAACTTTTTTAATAGTAATTTTTCAGATTTTACTAATTTTTTTCTTTATTTAATAAAAGTAAACTTTTCTTATTTACTTGTTAAGATATGTTATAAATCAAAATTATTTTAATAGTGATTTTTTAGATTTTCTAATTTTTTTTTTAATAGAAATGGATTTTTCTTATTATTGACTAAGATATGTTACAAATTAATATTAAGATTTTTTAGTAGTGATTTTTCAGGTTTTTACTAACTTTTCTTTTTTAATAGAAATAAAGTTTTCTTGCTATTAGGCCAGGTAATATTAATTTTTAGATTCTCATAACCTGGCTTTGTCAGTTTTACAAAAATGCTGATTTTATTTATAGTAACATTTTTTATCACGTAACTTTACTTAATAAAAACATATATTTATTATATAATAAATTTAATAAATGTATTACATATTATTTTTGTGACCTTTTTGTTACTTGAAATTTAATATTCTTCTTATTTGAAACTATTATATAACATTCATTACAATAATAGTAATATACTTTATTTATACTAACTCTACCATATTCATCGCATTCATCTTTTGGTACTTTTTTACACTCAAAACAAATATCTTCAAATAGACTACTTGAATAATAGAAAACTTATATAGAATTATTACATGCTAATTTATCATCAACTTTTACATTTTTAAAAATTCTTCTTACATCATCATTTTTATTAATCTCAATACTAATATTTTCCATTATTGTGCTTGAGTTTACTAAAGTTTCAAAAGAATCACTTCATATATATTGAATAGTATCTAAATACCTTTCTAAAGTAGCTATTTTAAAAGAAGATAATTTACTTTTACTATATAATACGCGCTATATGTTGCATTTGCAACATTCAATCATTATTCTAACATTTCTTACAAATTGAGCAGTAGGACCAAATTCTATATGAGTTCTTTTCTTTTTTTGTTGATTTATTAAAGATAGTCTATTATAATTATATCATACACATTTGAAATTCTTTATAACTAGTTTTATAAGTTATTGGAATTGGATCAGATAATGAATGAACTTGAGAAAAATCAAGTTCATCACTTCTTATTAGTTTGCAAATATCACAATCTGCTATACCACATTTTTTTATTTGAAAAAAGTAATATCATGACTCACAGCAGTGAGCATAAAATTCTTATAAATTAGCCTAAATAGAAATAGTAAAATTTGTTTAGTAAATAATAATTATTTTAGATAATAAAATATAAGATTTATTTACTTTATCTTTAATATCTTTTTTGGTTTTGTCATTTATGTCTAATGAATTATCAATTCCTAATAAAGATTTTTATAAATTATTAATTTCTTCTTCTACTGATTTATAAGTTAGAAATAATTCATCCTTTAATGTTAATCACTCAAATATACCTTCCATTAAGTTAATGAATGCTTGCAATTTACTAATTCATTTTCAATTGCAGCTCATTTTTTGAGCATATACGAATTTCTTCCATAAAATTGCACTTTTTCATCAGATTTCTAAATCATCACTAATTTCATTATACATTAAACCAATACTTTGTATGTCAAAATTTAATATTGACATTATTCGTTCAACTGGATTTTTCCAAGAATGACCTGGTAAAGTTCTAATAGTGATTAACGTTAATAAATCTAAATCTAATTTTAAAAATAATACTATTAATGCTAATTAAATATAAACATAAGAAATTCGATGATCAGGTCCTCTATCAGTATAAAGAAATAAATAAGGTTTATTTTTATTTATACTATTTAATATTTTATATAATTCTATCATATAGCGTAATAAATCTGATTGTTAAAATATTAGATCTTTTAAGCTAATATATACTTGTTCACGATAAAATGATTCTTCAATTGTAGTAAGAATATCACATTACATTATCACACTTGAAATTTTACCACACTTTGTAAAGTTATGATCTGCAACTTTAAAAGTATTATTTTTTGATACTATCACTTATTGTCCTCTTTCAACAGCTGCAACTGGACGTCCTGGTTTACCTACTTTACATCTATGCTTATCATCTATAAAAATTAACCATGAATTCATTTGCAAAAGTATTTTTATTTCCTTCTAATAATAAAATAAAGCACTAGCATAGTGTAAATCTTTATGAAATTATCTTATTTACATCATAAATTTAATAAGAAATTTACTAGTAAATTATAAACTACTTTTATGTGTTGGATTTTTTTGGCCAGAATTGTAGTCTAATTCACTGTATAGATAGTATTAGTATGTTTGGAAGACAAATTTTACGCACTTTATTTCAAAAATCCTGAGTTGATATTGCAGCTGCAAGATATTAAAATAAATCATGTCTTCTTTTATCAACAACTAAAATAGATTCTTAAGCTATTCCTTTTAAATATTTTAATGCATATTTCTAAAATATATTAAACTTAGGTAATTTACCCTCATTTATTTTACAAAAATCAATAAGTAAATCAGGATCTTCTAATTCAAACATTATTTCTACTTGATCATTTACATCTTGAGTTTCTAAATTAACTGAAGCTACTAAATTATTTAACTATGTAATATAAATATAACATATTCTAATTATTTCTACTTTACTAATATAAAGATCAACTGTATCTAAAAATTCTTTTCTTATAGCTTTTGTATGATAAATTTGAAGTATTTATTTATTATTGTTTCTAATTATATGGAGCTTATCAATAGAAAAGAAGAAAATCTAAAAAAAATTAAAATTATACTTCATATGCTAAATATGATTTTTTTAGTAAAATAAGTTCGGATTTAACTTTAACTCATAAAAACATTTTTTTAGATTTCCCCTTTCTATTGAAAAGCTTCCATATAATGTTAATTAATTATTTCCTATTCATTAACATTAATATTAATATGCTAAATATAAACTGAATTTTGTACATTTCTATGATAATATGTATATTTTCCAATTTTAAATGAAACAACCAATTTTAACTTGTTAATAAATCTAGATCTTTGTCTAATTAAAATAAAAATTAATTAATTAGCATTTGTTTATAGAAATTTAATAATAACAACATTAAATATAAATCTTACTTTCGTAATTTTAGATAAAATTGGTTAATATTAACAAGTTTCTAATATTTTAATTTTTTTAAAGTTTTTATAAGAATATGAAATTCTTTTATAATTTCAGGTTTTTGCAATATATTCTCATTCAAAATTTCTATATATTCTGCTTTTCCTTCATCAACTATAGGAATTAACGAATTTTGATTTTCTGCAGTTATAATTCTTTGATTAATTAAGTACTCAGCATACTTTAAAAGATTAGTTACATAAAATAGCAAAGTTTCTTTAAGCCAAACAAATTTTCCTACTTATTTACTATATATTCTCTTCTGATTTACTTTATAAATAATTAATAATTTTAAGAAATTTTTTTTTTAAATTAATTATATAAATATGTAATATATTATAATAAATTTTATCTTTTAATTATATAATAAAAAATTTAATATTACTTAGCGTTAGAAGCTAAAAATTTGTAATATTTAAAAAAAAATTATTTTAAAAAATTTTATGATTAATTTATGATAAACTTTTTGAATTTAATTTTACCTATATTAATCATAATAGAATATTATAAAATTACTTATAAAGAAAAACTTTTAATATTATAATTTTATGACTTTAATTAATGATAAAATAATTCAATTTGTTCTTAAACTTATAAATTTTTATAGAATTTTTATAAAATTATTTTTTTATAATTATTTTGTTTTTAA